AATCTTGTAGTGTGTGCATGTTTAAGATTTGAGGGAAGATAATCCACAAAGATTCTCCTTATGTGTGCAACCAGATTTCATAATCGGTTAGGATTTTAAAAATCCTGTAGTGTGAGCCCGGCTTAAGATATATTATGAGTTACTAATTACTAATGCTGGGTTCAGACTACACAATATTTTTGTCAGTCACGATAGTCACTGTGTCAGATTACATGATTTTGACTCCTAAAATCTTGTCGTGTCCTGGACAAGAAACATGTCAGACTACACGTTGCTTCCCGACCATTCATCGCATGATGTCATCGAGAAGGCGGAACTAGCAACTGACTTCAGAAAACAAGAGTGTAAACATTACTGAAGCACTTCAGCTATAGTTCGCCAGCATTTTTCTTTCTTTGTTCCGTCGTGGTAGGCCCTCGATGACACATCATACAGGCAGGAGTAATGTTGCCACAGCTCCACGAACCTTTCCTCCATCTCATAATTCCACCTAACAGCACCATCATCTCTCTTTCGTTTTGCCATGTTTGAAACCTGTGTATGAGAGAGCTTCTGTGCCGCTATTGGTCAACGTCACCAATGTGACAGAACTCGTCGTGGACGACAGAAAAAAAATTAAACATGCTAGTCTTTCTGTCGTGATGTCGTGAAGCATCGCAGACGCGGAATCGGTTGTCGTCCACTATGACACACTACACGTGCTGAAACGATGGAATCTTGCACCCCGATGCCCATTGTCGTTTACGAATCCCCACGACACCCTACGTCAAGCAAATCGTAGCAAAACCGGGCTAAAATCGCGTAGTCTGAACTGGGCATAATTTATCTCTGATAAACTTTCCGTCACTAGCTGGGTTTCCATCACCCTGCTTTTAATGCGCATTTTGAAGTATTGCATCAGAATCGAAAGATGGAAACGTTGAATTTCAAATAAAAATGCCTTAATTCGCAAAAAAGTTTTTCCGCTCGCTTGTGGTGGTTTTTGACTTGTGCGAAAAAGGGTTAATGCGAATAATGGCAGATGGAAATGCATTTTGCGAATAAATTCCTCCAAGCGCATCAAAAAAGTCATGTGACTTTGCACTATGGGATGGCATAACCTGACTAACCAGCAGACCGATCTCATCCCACAGCATCTCAAATGTTGTTTTGGTCATTCGGAAATGCACGAGCAAAGTCTATCAAAGTATTTCTGTATAATTGCCTCCCTGAAATGTCTTCCACGACTGCGTTCCCAAACAGCAGCATCCACCTCTGAAAGCAATGACCGCATTCATTGCGTTTCATCTGCTCGCTCTGAGGCGCAAGTAATTTATAACTTATGAAAATTATTATATTCTCCTACTTTTCTTAGTGATTTATAGTGCCAGTTTATCAGGAAGTGACAATTTTGTTCTCTTTGACTCGTTGGATGGAAACGATGCTTGTTCGCAAATGTTTTATATGCGATATTCCAGTTTTGCGCATAAGTTAAATTCGCAGCTTC